CACAGTTTTTATAGTTCTGCAGTAACTCTGGAAACTTCAGGGAAGTTCTGCAAGCTCCAGCTGACTATGGATTAGATCAGATGTCACATACAAGAGGCTTTCATAACATTTGATGAGCATAGCTGTGTGATACTTTCAAGATACTGGTATCTTGAATGCATCTTAAAACTTTCTCACAGTTAGCAGTAAGTAACAGCAAATCATCTGTTCAGGCTTTTCCAGCAAAGTCAAGTAATAAATAGCCATGGAAACTAAAATAATTTTCTAGTGTTAGTCCCTCTGGGCCAAGCTTATTGGCTCAGGTGCAGCTCCCTGGGAAGGCTTTATAAGACTTCAGACTTAAGCTGACACTGCAAAACCAGTGTAGAGGTGTCTCAATCTCTTACATAAGTAGGAATTTGGTTAGATTTGAGGTAGATGTTCTTTTCCAGAGAACAGTAGCCAGCTGAGTCAAGGGCTTTAAGAGGAATCTGAAACTTTGTTCAGGCCGTTAGTCAATCAGATATGATTAAACACAGCCTCTCAGAGAATACCAAGGTAGCAAGAAAAATAAATAGATGTACCGGTCACTGATTCACACAAGAATTTCAGGAATGAATTATGATGCTTTTTCCTTGAAAAGCAAAAGATTCACTTTTTCATTTTAAGTTCCTCGCGAGAAAAACACATTTAGAATATCCTAGACAAATGGAGATAGAAAGACTTCTAATATTTACTCTTTATATGTAATGTTTGAAGATTTGTTTGCAAAGTTGTACTTTTAGCAATGTTACTTTTTCAGCATTGCTGAGAGTCACGGTGGAAGATGCTATTATCACACTAATAACTTATTTATGTATTCTTTGATTTGGCTCACCCTACTCGCAATGTTAAAGAATCATGGATGCCAAACAGGAAATAGCTAAAAGTCATTTTCTTTAATTGTGCTCGTAAATATACAGTTAATAAAGCTTGTGGATTACATCCAAATTTTTCTCCAGTGCTCATCATTTTTAAAGGACGGTTCAACTTGTCACATCTTGACTTGATCTCGAAAGGGAAGTCAAAGTTTAGATGTCTTCCTGAGGGGAAAGAAAAAAGATGGCTGATAAATTTCAAAGGGATTCTTGTGATCAATAACTGTAGTTCTTAATGAGGAGTGATGCTGAACAGCACTTGATGGGGAGCTCTAGGAGGTCTTGTAGGAGTGTTGTAGCCTGTGCAGGAGAGGACATGAATTTTGGGGCTTATACTTAGAAATAAGGCATGTCTTGGCACTAGCTGAACAGAAATTGAGGCTGGGACAAACAGGCTTTCCTTCTTTTTAAATGGTTAGATCAGAAGAACAGCAGTAACACTTAATTTTCTAACTTTTCTGTGGTAATTGCACATAGGATATCTGATTGTCTTGGAAGCAGAAATAATTTAAGTCTTGCAAAACCCATCAGAGTTAGGGGAAATACCCCTAACCCTCTTCCGCACATTCATTTTAGTGAGGCATCCAGAAAGATTGTGAAGGAGGAGTCACAGATGCTAACTTCTTTGAGTTTCAGTGGAAGTTAGGTTGCTAAATACCTTTCTGAATTAAGTCCTAACTGATTTACTTAGGATCATTTGGGAATTTAAGTAGAACAAAAGTAAAAGCTGATTTCCTTTAGCTGTAGCCTAATAGTCTCTTTGCTGTAATATAACCCTTTCTGACCTTTTCTTATGGTACACATACCGTTCTCAGAAACAGAAACTGAAGAAGTCTCTATGTTTCAGGTCTCTGCTGGATCAGCCAGGCTAGTTCTGTCTACTTGTAGATACTGAGGAGGTTAAATGTATGCATCTCTCAATCCAGTGGAATTGTAGATAATTAAGATATTTCATTTGGGGACGACGACGACTTTTGTCTATCAGGTTTGACTATGTCACCATTCTCTAGAAGGCAGTTAGTAAATGGTCATATATAGTGTTCATGTAGAATATGTGTGAAAACCTGCATAGTGAATAGGACTCTATTGGACTAGTGGCCATGACTTTAGTCTATTAAGGAGATGGGTGCACTGATCAATTAATTGATGATCATTTATTTGTGTGATTGGATACCAGAATCTTGGTGGTTAGTAATGTTCTAAAATGTTTTCCTTGTTTCAGATACTAATTTCTTGATACTTGAGGATGAGCAGTTTCTTTTAAAAATTACCTTTTAAAGTTACATTTTCTTTTGTATTCTTGAGCTGCTGCTTTCTTTCAATCCTCCCTTTGCAGATGTGCAGCACTTTGAGACCAGAATACCCAAGATACCCTTACACTTATTATTATCCCTTTGTTTTATGTTGCAGCCAACAGTTTGCACATTACTGCCTACTTTATGAAGAGATGGGTTAATCTCCGTTGTGCTGTAGGGAAACGTTATCGTGGTAAGAAATCAGTTTCTTATAGTGCTATTTAGAATTCTGCGTTTCTGAGAGAGAAAAAAAGGAACATAAGCTAATACTTCGTCAGAGTTTGGTCTCCTGAATCAAGATATCTTTCAGAGCTTGGTTTTGATTGTTGTTTTTTTTTTCAGGGGACGTTTCCTATGAAAAAAAAAAAAAAAGTTTTTTAACATATTATGACCTTTTTTTTTTTTTAAGCTTAATTTTAAATTTGTGTATGCCTTGCCCCAGGGTGATCAGCTAAGCCACACCAAATTCTGTAAGTATGATGAGACTCAGCACTTTACTGAGTCTCTGCAGGGTGAATCAACCAGAGGTTGCAGTGTGAATCACTTCATTATTGCTTGAGTGTCTTGTGACATCAACTGTACCATACAAGTGTATGCAAGAAAAGGCTTTCATTCACCTCAGTGCTATAAAACCTTTACACAGGTGATGTCATTGGACCAGACCTTTTCTTCATGTTTTCTCAAGCCAGGATGCTCTGTAAGGAAATTATATCAATCCTGTCCTACCACCAGCAATGAAAAGGACCTATAGCACTCACTGCCCTGTGTGCTGACCTTTTGATTAAAAAAAGGCAAAATAAATCAGGTGCCCTTAAAAATAATGAATACTTGAATAGATATTTTAAAAGAATTTCTGATTTATCTAGGTAGGAATTCATTATATTCATAATTGTTCAAAACTCTTCAGATGCCAACAAGTTGTTTTCTAAGTCCTATTGGCTGAAGTGATTGGAGTGTGGTTTTAAAGTATTTCCTCAAATTTATTCTCTGAACCTACGAATCAAATCTAATGAATACCCAAAGACACTTCATTTTCTTAGCCAGCAAATGAGATTGTTATAAAATGTAACAATAAAAATGCCCAACAGGAATGAGCTTGCCCTACAAGTGCTGCCAAAAAGAGATGCTCTGATGCTGCAGTCAAAACTTTGCTTCCATATGAAGTTCCTAACAGGAAAGGAACTTTATTTTGCTGGGTTTCACTCCCAGTAAGTAGAAAAATAAGCACATATCCTATAAATAAATAAATTGGCACCAGTGTTTCCTTTCTGTAAGATAACACCTAGTCCTTCACAAGCAAAACCCAGTTGTTGAGCCTAATGAAAGAATCCTGCATATTTCAGTTGGTGATGCTCACTCAGTATCTAAAGTAAACTTAACTTACCTATGGGGCTGTTAGTGGAATCACATGTAATAGGTTCAGTCCTTGCAACAGTTCTCATCTTTTCTTTTGTAGCCCATTTGGAGGATGTCCATAGACTACTTGCAGTTTGAAAGCCGTTGTACTAGACCTCTGCAGGTGGCCTTTCAGGTCTTGAGGATACAAACAGAGATAGAATAGTCTTGGACACAGTTTCACTAACAGAGTTGATGTTTCTGAAAGGATTAAGAAAGGCTCGTGTTTATCATCAAGTTATAGTAGTTTAACAAGCTGTTGTGCCATACGGACGCATTTCAGGTCTCTGTTTAAGCTTTTTCAGCCAGTGGCAAATCTGTTTCAGCATCCCCATCTTTCACTGTAATGACTCAAGAAAAGTCACTGCTGGTACACACTCAGGGTTTGTCAGATACTAATGGAGATAGGCTGTTGGTGGAGAAGCAGTACCTTATAGAGAGGCAGGCACCTGTATGGATAACCTGATAATCGTTGGCACATCAAGCCTATACTCCATTTATTGTGAGGAGATATTCCATCAAAAAATGAGGTCAACCTTATGTTTTTTTTTCTGTATGCCTCATCTCTTTCTTGTCCCAGAAAATAGGGCATTATGCCTTGGTTTTGAAATATAACAGACTTCAAAAATTAATAGCTCTCTTTTTGTAAAATCAAACCAAGAACCAACAGCAAAAAAACCTGAGCTGAAAATATGAAGATAGTAATCTGGAAATAATCTAAATTGCAAAATAACAAACTACCCAGCTATATTCTCTTTATAGCATTGCTAGGTACTGAATAAAAGTTTTGTCTGGTCTGTTCTGAGAGCCCTTCAATTTTTGATCCTTTGTAACCAGAAGCTTTGTTGTTTTCAAAACAAACCATGTGATCTTGAGCAAAATCTGTAATTCAGTAGCAGTTAACCAATTTGTTTAATGAGTTCAAAACTCACTGGAGTCAGACTTTGAAGCACTTAGCCTTACACATGAGGCTTTATGTCAGATCCTGGCTGAATATATTGTGCTGTATTCCAAACATAATTTACAGCTTTTGTGATGAAAGGACTCATCTCCAGAAGAACACAACAGAAATCACCGTTAAGTGCTTTGTCTGTTGGTTCTGTCTGGTGTATTTGTCCAGGGGTGCAGGTGGAGTAATTTGCAGCCATGACCATCCTCTTTGGAACTAAACTTACTCTGACTTACTGATTTCTATATTTTATTTGTAATGGTTTAAAAATAACAAAACAAAAGGAGGATGAGATGCTGAAGAGAGTAGGTAAGAAACTACTAGAGTGCATGAAGTGGGTTAGTGTGCACTTTAAAACCTTGATCATTCTATTTGTTAAAACAGCATCTGTATATGTTGATAGTATGTATGGTTTTGAATATGGCTATAATTTTTGTAATCTTCTTTTCACTTCTTTTTGTATAGACCTGCGTGTGTTTCCAGACAAATTTATAGTGTGTGTCAGTAAACTTGACTCTAATCCAAGTGATTGGACATGTGACAATGATGTATTGGTATGTACAAATCTGTTCTATACATTTTCTGGTTTATAGTAGTAGTAAGATGAACTTTTATGGATAGATGTTGGTATTCACATATTTGTGACTGTCATCTTGAAACCAGAAAGTCACATTAACAGTTAGGGTGAAGTATTCAAAAGACATCCTGAAGTGAGCTCAAAGCAGACGAAAATGGGAATTTTTTGGAAGTTCAGCATTTTCTGGGCCAGATAAGGCTCAGAGAAAAAGACAATGTATTTAGAAAGCTAGGTATGATTTTAGCTCCTTGATTTTAGAATCTGGTTTATCTTTGTATTTTGTCCTTGTAGCTTTTTGCTTCCCAAAATTATAATGGGGCAGTTTTTGATGTCCAGGGGTCTCTTATATGTTCTCTTAGCACTTGTTCTGCAAAACAGCTCAAACAGATCAAAGCTAGCCCGGCTGGGGAAGAAAAATCCCTAAACGTTTATGGAGAAAAAGGCGCTGGTGTGTACTTAAATACCATAAATAAGTCTACTTGAATATTTCATCCTGAAGGCTTGATCAGGGTCAAAGGCTTATGATTTTTATGCAGCAGTTAACTGCTGATTGTCTCAGGAGTGCTCACACTGACCCAGGTGGCCGGCTGTAGGGCAGTCAGTCTCTGCTGTGCTCGCAGCAGGAGTCAGAATTACATGCTGGGGGCTATGTGTGTTTTAGTAGTTTATCTTAAATGTATTAAAATATATTTGACCGTTGAAAATAAAAGTTTTTCCTCTGCCCTTCAACTTAATATTTTTTTAATATCAAGCAGGGTGGTTTTATTTATTATACTAAATGCAGATTTTATGATCTTGATTCCTAGATTAGTAAGTATCCTTAAATGTCAGAGCACCCAGCAAATGTTTTTCTCTCTCTCAGAACATATCTAACTGCTTTAGAAGTACTTTGCCATTTTGGAAGTTATTACTCTCTCAATATTGTCTTGAAAACTACTTAGATGCTTTAAGTAGGAAATCCTGCTTCTGCTTTTTGACTCAGAAATAATTATCTTATTTTTTCTTGCCTAATATCTCTTATGAGATATCCAGTTTCCTCATTTGGTGGTTTTAATCTTTCCATCAAATAAAAGGGCGATGTTTTGTTTAGTTTCTTTCACATGATGCTAAGGCAGTAAGGAGAAGGTAAATGAAAAAAACCAACGTTATAAACTTTAGCTTGGCTATTTCAAAAATTGAGCTTGATCTATGGGAACTCCTTGTTGCTTAAAAAGGGACTTTATACACTCCTATGTTAAGAAAAAAATATTAGTGGGATTGTAACTTCAACAACAATGAAATCTTCAGAGTTTGTTTTACTTACAAGTGCAATATGTGTGCTTAGAACTGCTGGAACAGTCGGTGTAGTAACTTGGTAGGAGAAAATAAGATAAAGTTATCACTGAGCCATCTTCTCTTATGTGAAGAAGTAACAAGATGTGGACGGCCCCTCCACAAATGTTTTGGAGTATCATTTTAATTCCTACCACTCAAAGGGCTCACATCAGACTGTTTTGTTGATCCAGAATTTCTGCGGCACATTAGTACTGGATTTGTCATATACTCCAGTTGTGTACCTTGCCAAACTGGGGGAGTGTTTAATTGCCACTGAGAGGTCATTTCAAGTTTTTGGCACTCCACAAGTAAAGGCTAAGGGCCTGCACTTTGCATGTGGACTTTTCTCTATGCAGTTTAGCAGTGAGCATGCTTGAACTCTAAACTAGACCACAAAAGACCACCCAGAAGACCTTTCCGTTGATATACTCCAGTGTATTCTGTCATGGGCTAAAAATGAGGCATATGTTTTGTTTTCCTCTGTATGTTGTTTGGGTTTGAATAATTTCATAATGTTGCATGCAAGTTCTTTTGAGCGTTTAATCAGCTCACACCCTTGGTTTTGAGGGCCTGTCTGTGTTTTATAAAAGTAGTTGACTATATGTTAATGGAGACTTTGCCAGTTTTCAATGTTGCTGAATGTCACTGTGATTGACTTGGTCAAGACTTAACAGTCTTCCTCCCCCCCCCCCCCCCCCTCCCCTTTTTAAGCTGCTTTTATGCTGGTTTATGGTTTGGGTCAAGCTTTCATTCCTGAGCTCTGTCAAGACAAGTCAGGCTCAATGCCATGCTTTCCCATTACTTGGAATCAGTTTTATGTCAGTCTGATACATTTTTCTTTCACTCACTGCAACTCTGTTCCTTCTCTTATCTTCAGCACTTTATTCTTTGCTGTTTCAGTGCCTTTTAAGCTATTCTTCGTATCTCTGAAATAGACTCTGCTTAAACTAAGAGTTTCAAGGGATGTAGCCAGATATTAAATGAAATTCTTATGTCCTGCATCTTAGCAAAGATCATAATTAGATTGCTTTTGAGATATTCACAAGCACAACTCTTAGCATCGATTGCTGAGAGAAACAATTTGAAGCCTTGTGTGATGCATCTTGTAAGACCACAGAAAAGGTAGATTAGGCAGGCTGTCAAATTATCATTAAGCATGAACTAATAAATTCTAAGGAGTAGAGCTGAAATAAAATAGAAGAAAATATCGATTTGTAGTTTTCTACTTTCTAGAATCTATTTAGAAATAGATTAGGGTGTTTCTGTGGTCATATCTAAAAATTGGGTTGTAATAATATTCCCACAGGCAGTAATTTTGAAGGAAGGGAAATCTCCCTTAAAAAAACAATACATCAAAGTATTGAAAATGCATAGGCAAATTATAAGTCTCAAGGAAAAGATGGAAGAATAGCCTGGCTGATTAATAACAAGTTTAAACATAAACCCATTGTTTCCTGTTTTGCCAAGCTATGTTTGTAATCTTGAATAGTTTTATCTTGAAAAAGAAGACAGTTTTGGGAACATGGCAAAAGAGGAAACTCAGGGAAATATATAAGAGCTCTGGAGAGATTAGTCATCTTTGTCAATGACGACATTTTCTTGAAGATTATTATGTAAAGAGCTAAAATGGAAAATTAGAAATGGGTTATCTGAAGAAACAGTGGAAATGGAAATGGGTGGAAGGCTTATTGGAGGCTTGTGAGCATTTGAAAATGTGCTAACAATGGAGTATTCATTGATAACCACATCGCTTTATGCAGGAATTTGTGAGAGGAAGCAGTTGTAGCGAAAGCACGAAGGAGGTTAAGCTAATGATATTAAAGTGAAAATTTAAAATTGCTGTTCATGTGAGATCAGAAAAAAAGGTTGGGGAATAGGAGCTCCTGTCTTGATTAAAAAGATCTCAGGTTTCCACTGAGCCTTGCTATTATGCAAAATACTATATAAAAATAAAGATCATTTTCCAAACAGAATATTACTCTTAAAAAAGCAACCAAACAAAAAACTCCACGTAGTTACACAAGGAAAAAAGTGCTAGCATTATGCCCAGTGCTGTTTAAATCCCCAACAGAGAAATAAAAGCAGACTATTTCATCTTTGTGTCTGACTTCATAATCTGTGTTATTGTAACATACTTCAAGTACATTAGAGAATTCTCTTTCCTAAAACTTCTAAGAGCATAAATGGCATGATTTGATTGGATTTTGCTTATGCTGGGAAGAGGTTTTTTTGGTCTTTTGATTGAAACATGTATTTAGCTGTAATTAACAAGAGGCTTTAACATTAGAGTGTGTGCTGCTGGAATAGTGTCTGTCTTGGAAGGCAGAATGAAAGCTTTCTTCAGTTAGCAGCAATTTGTAAAGATTAGTAGAAGACTTTATGTGAAACTTAGTTATCTTAAATACTTTAAAGAGTATTTTATTGTTAAGTAATATCAGATTGGGTAGGGGAAGAAGGAAATGCTGGGAAATACAATTGCACAATTCACACTATGTAAGTGCTAATCTTGGCATGGAACTCTCTATGTGTGTATATATGTATAATAACACAGTTAAACCGCTGTAATGGTAGGCTACTACTGAAAAGGTCAGTCCACATCCCCTCTAGTTCCAGCTACATATTCCTTTCCTTTCTAGTTACAATGGGCCAAGTGATTCTTCAGTGAAGAATGAATTAGTTCATTGACTTGATCCAGCAGAAAACCATTTATCTGTGAGGTTTCTCTGTTTTTTATTGGAGGATTAGTTTTCCAGCATGTCAGTTCACTGAACCAACTCATCCTGTACCCATACAGTTGCCAAGTGTGACACAAAAAACGTTGCAGGAGCACATAGCCAGGACTTGAATGAAGAGAGCAGGAGCCACCCCTTTAGGGAGCAGCTGATAGTTACCCTGGTTTGGATGTCTCATCCAAAACACACATTAATGTTACATTTGTTGTAATTCTTGTCCTGCTGATGGTTTTGATTTCATTATCCTTTTAAATTTCATTTAACCATGTGTTCATATGTTTTCAGATAATTCATGCTTAATTCTTTTCCATCATTATAGGAAGCTTAGCTAAAGAAGACAATATTAAGCTGTAGTTTGGTAACTGTATGAACAGGGTTCACTGCTTCCTGGAAAAGAGGTAGTTGGGAACTCTTATTTAAATACCACATAGTGAAACAGGTAAAGAACTGCTTTTCTCTTTGGTGAGTTTTCACTTTTGACATGCTTCTGTCATGTTTTTCTATTCATCTTTCACGTTTCTGGTCAAGCTGATGCAAGACTGATGATGCTGAAACATGCAGGCCCTCCTGCCTTCTCTTACCCAAGCATTCTTGTGTCTGTCAGTGCTGGCATGTGTGGGGAGCTGGGTTAATTCCTTGACCCCTCTGAAAACAAGGTGAAGTTTTTTGTTGTTTGGAGTTATTTTGTTGTTTTTCATGGTTAGCTTTCAGGTGGATCCGTTTGGTCAGGCTCTCGCTGTGCAGCTGCTAGTGTTGCTACAGAGGCTTGTCAGGACCATGTGTTGGGTAAGGTTGAGACTTCCCTTTCAATGTTAGGCTAGCTTTCAATTAGCTTGAATCATGAGCCTGCTCTGGCTGAGAAACTACATCACAAATTAATGATACTAACATCTTTGACTTGGTCATAAAGAAGAAAGCTATGGCAGTTTTA